GATATCAATTTCGACGCCGAGGATGTCCGTGTTTCAACACCTAAGATCAAGGTCTTGATTTAGGGATTCAAGTCATCCTCTATGCTACTGAGATATGTCTTGAGCTGCTTCATCGTATCCGACGAAGAGTCAAGCTCGACAACTGGTGGTAAAGCTCCTGTTTGTTCAGTCACAAGTTAGGCAACCCTCCGTCAGGCGTATGATTTAGAGTCCCTGACAGTCATCATGTCGTCGACGCAAGTCACCATCCGAACAAGTCATTTCCGCCGTCATCATCGCACAGTGATGGCCATTGGTATGCTCGAAGTCATCATCTCCGACCAGTCACAGGCGCCATCGTCATTGTCGGCTCGTTCCGAAGTGTTGTCTCTGCCTTCGTCTTCCGGTTCTGACGTCGTAAGTCAACCATCTCCGTCACAGTTTCAAATCACCGATCCTTGTCTTGTCATGGAAGGTGAAAGAGGAAGAAGAGAAGCATGAAAGCAGCGGGAGCAGCGGGAGCAGAGAGAGGTCAAAGGGTTTCCTAACCCTATGGGCCTTGGGCCATTTAATTGTTTTTTTGGTCAACAGTTGCTCCAAAGAGTGCGGATCCTATGGCTAAGAGGGGGGGTCCTTAGTCAAGTGACTAAGTCCTTACTAACCCTTAGATCTAGATATCCTAATCTAAAGGTTGAAAAGTGGGAAGGGATATTTACTAACAAAAAGGGTAGTTGTGGTATTATAAATAATTAATTTCTTTTTTCTTTACTTTTTCCCCCGGTCGGCGGTCACGAACAACTACCGCACGTCTCTTTTTTTTTTGATACAATTCAGCTACTTTTTTTATTGGAGCTGAATTTTCTTTTATTAAATGATTTTTAAACTTCCCAGTCCCACTCATGCACATGCGTTTCCTTGGTTTTATTAAATTAGTTTTTTATTATAAAAATAAAAATCACAGAATTAAAAAGTATACAAAATAATATTAAAAAGTATTAGAACCACATAATATAAGTATACAAATCAAGATAATATTATATACAAAGATTACTAAAAACAAAAAATATCACTACTAAATATTACAAAGTATACATACCACATCATAAAAGTATACAAATTAATATTACAAAGTATATAAACCCGTGATCACATCATAAAACTATACAAATAATACTAACATTGTATACAAAACATACTAACCATATAAATACAAAGCATACAAAACATACAAATCAGAAGTATATGAATGTTACAAACATGACCGACAAAAATGAAAAATATGGTGAACAAAAATTACAAACATTACAAAACAAACCAACAAATATTACAATCATAACAAAGCTTATAAAATTACAAGATAAACCGACAAACAGTACAAACCATACTAACAATACAAAACACCACTACTTATAATACAAATCGATAAACTGAAATTACAAACCAATAAATACAAAGTATACAAAATAGACAAACAAACATCACAAATCACAATATATACAAATTAGTCATATAAACATTACTAACATGATAGATAAAAATGACAAACAATACAAACCGAAAATGATAAAAACATTACAAATCAGACTTATAGACACTACAAAGTAGGTTGACAAACATCACAAATCTCTCTCTCTCTCTCTCTCTCTCTCTCTCTCTCTAGCCGCATAGATCAATGGATGGGGGATTAAAAATCCCACCCTCTCTCTCACCTGGGACATTTCCCCATGTCTCCTGCTAATAAATGTACAGCAAACATTAATAGAAATGGACAGAGGAGACTATAAATGGACAGAGGAGACGCCACCGGCTAGAGTCAGAGTCGCCGCCGGTTAGAGGAGTCGCTGGGAAATTTTTCCGGCCGGGGCAACCGCAGAAGTCGGAAGGTAGCAACGACCAAATTTATTTTTCTTTGTTTATTATATAAATTAATAAATTAAATAATCATGCAATTACTATATTGTCCTTTATCAAATTGGATTAATATGGGCCATTGGATTTTAATGAGGTGCAAGGGTGGAGATTGACTTAGTCATGTGACTAAGGGACCCCCCCTTAGTCACCTGATCTTAGCCCTGCTCCAAAGGCTCTGGTAGTCATCTTTTAAGGCCTGGCCATCGTGTCTCCTTTGAAGCTGCATTTAGTCAGTAATTACTAGAGGAAAAATCACATGCTTACCGTCTTGTCATGGCCGCCTCACATTTCTCTTCAAATTTAAAGTGTGGGCCGTGTGGCCGAACTGGCCTTTGTGAGCTTCAACATCCGTTTTCGGTAAGAGTTTTTATGGGCTCTTTAATTAGATTTTGGGTCAGCATTCATTTTGCAGGCTTTCATCAAATATAATCAAGTATCGATTGAGGCATTCATGATCCATAAAATGGCCATCCCCTGGCGTTCAAAAGGTAGTACGATCAAAGAAGTAATCGTCCCTTCATCGTCCAGCTGGTATTCACGATCCAAGAAATGGTCGTCCCCTCTTCCGGTTCATTAGTGGGCACATATCAACCATTCATCGCTTTTCAAGCTGGGCATTCACGTTCTTCATGCTCCAGCTTGAGGGGGAGAATAGAAGGTCAACATACGTCGGTCGACTAACTCAGTCATCAGGTCGATTGCGAAGTACCAGGTGTGTTCAAGTTCAAGAGACGCAGTCAATCGTCTCCATCATCAGGTTGTTCATAGAGAGTTAGTCGTCTCCAATCAACCTTGTCTGAGATGTTATTCATCTCGAGTTTTGTGGTTCAAGCCATCATGCTTGTTCTTCACATTTACTTCTTCAAGCTCGACATTCTTGTCATTCATGTCTTCGCTTGAGGGGGAGTGTTGCGGTCACTTAAACCGTGTTAGTATTGGGCCTTGTTGGGCCTCGTCTGATTCGTTGGATTAGGGTTTTAACCCTAAGTTTATCTATATAAGCTTAGCTATCGACTTGTGTGATAGTAAGCCGTCAAGATGTAATCCTAATAAGAGATCAGCCGTGAGCTCTTATGAGCTCACCGTTGATTAGTCTTGATCAATCAATCGATCGAGGATACCACGTAAAATCGTTGTCTCGTGTGTTGTTACAATTTCGTATCATCAAATTCTACAGACCATGATCGAGAATCTGATAGGAAGGAAGGATGGGAAACCCAAAACACCCAATCAATTTCTTCGCTTGAAGTTCAATAATTCAAGCTAATCTGACGACCAATATTCATTTACCATTGCCAATTCGCTCAACGAAGGTCAATGTTAGTGAATTCGACGGAACCCCGCAAGATAAACAGATAATTGGGATTTCATAGTTCGTGACAAAAGAGTACAGAGTAAGCAGGTGAGAACGGAAAACAATGGCTTACCCGTGGGTTAGGAACAGAGGAAAAGCTTACAGAATTGAGATTTCATATTTCCCCAAATTAAAAGTCCATTCACTTCCAATTAGAGATGGCAAATGGATTGATCCATGGATTGGTGGATTCATGGATCAAATGGATTGGATCCAATGGATTGGTGGATTCATGGATTGGATCAAGTGTATTGGTGGATTATCCATGAATCCAAATGACAACCCCAATCAAGGACCAATATGTAAAATGTGAAAAATTTAGGTACTCAAATGTCATAATGAAAATTTTTAGGTACCAAAACGTAATTTTCTAATGATATTTTTCGTATAAAAAATTAAATTTTGGGTACCAAAATGTAAAATATAAAAAGTATAGGTACCAAATCGTAATTTGCCGTTTGGATCTATGGATCAATCCATGAATCCACCAATCCAATTGAATTTAGATCAAATGGATTAGATTAGGTGGATATTTTTAATGGGTTGGTGGATTGGATTGGTGGATTGCCACCTCTACTTCCAATTCCCAATTTCAATTTCAATTCGAGATTGTCGTAACCTAAACTCGACTCTTCAGATTCCACATGTTGAGCCCATGCCCCACAAACGTAACCTTCTTCTGAGTCGACATCAACTTCCCTGCAAGAGAACTCTTCGCTCTCTCAAAATCATACGCGCCGTTAGTAACCGAAGGGGTGTCGTCCCTCCGCGGCTTCTCTGCGCGCAGAGAACACACAAATCTCTTAGCTCAATCAATGACACCAGTGGCTGAAGGAAATAAAACTAAAATCCTGGAAAGACTTATCGATGATAAGAGGAACACTCTCCGGAATGGAGCTCGAGCAGGTAACTTGAACCCTAACGAAAGAGCAGTTACGAGTAGCTTTTCTTGGTTTGGATATGGAGGCAAAGCTCGAAGAAATAGAGGATTTCAAACCCTGGACGGCGGAAACCATCCTTGATCGCTATTGTTGCTCTGAAATCGGATGAGATTGCGTCGAAATACGCCAATTCATCACCGGGCTCGAATTTGTCTATGTTCAATTGGCCGGTGCGAGTTGCTCTTAGGGTTCGTGTTCTCCAAGGAGGACACAGACTCCAGCTTGGCGTCGATTCTCCCCGGGCTGCAGAGACAAGGGTTTTAGCGATGGAGTTGGGGGAGGTTTGGAGGAGAAAGGAGGAAGGGGCGGTGGTGAATTTGGGGAAAGAAGGAGGAGGAAGGCTGGAAGGGAGAAGATTTGGGTCAGGTTTTAATGACGTGGCGTGTTCGAATTTTTATTTTTATTGGGTTAAATTTGGCTGAATAGGTGATTCTGTTTGCCACGTCAGTAGTTAACGAACTTTATTAACGAAATTGGACGGAGACTAATAGAGAGTGACTAAACATGTCATGTTTTATTAAACTTAGTGACCATTATTAATATTAATCTTTTATAGTGACTAAACATGACGTATCCATTAATCAAACTGGGCATTTATCCTAAAAAAATGGAATTGATTTTTTAGTTTTACGGCACCAAAGAGAAAAAATGCAATTACCGAAAGAAAGGAAAAATTGTGCATGTAATCCGCGGTTCAACTTGAAAGTAAAAACCGGGACAGAAGTGAATATCAAACAGAAGTACAGAACAGAACCCTGTTTGGAACTCAGAACTCAGAACTCGGAGATAGAACCCAACACGCCAAGGAGAGAGAGATGACGACGATACGGCGGTTCTGTTGCAACGACCTTCTCCGCTTCGCTTCCGTCAACCTCGACCATCTCACTGAAACTGTAAGATCTCTCCCCCTCTGCCCAATCCCTGCTTTCCTTCTTCCAACTCCATTCTACCAATCGATTTCCTCACAGCAATGGCGTTCGGCTTTCGTAGTTTAACATGTCATTTTACATGACCTACTTGGCGAGATGGCCCGATTATTTTCACGTCGCCGAAGCCCCCGGCAACAAAGTCATGGGATACAGTCAGTCGCTTTTACACCCCTTTCAATTCTCACCCTCAAAACGCTGCTGCAATTCAACTTAGTTCGTTTGGTTCTTTCTACCTGCAGTTATGGGGAAAGTGGAAGGACAAGGCGAGTCCTGGCACGGCCATGTGACTGCGATTACGGTGGCCACGGAATTCCGCCGGCAGCAATTGGCCAAGAAGCTTATGAACCTGCTGGAAGATATCAGTGACAAGATGTAAGGATTTATTTTTCCCCCCACCCTTGTTTTCTTCCCAATTTTTATTTTGGCAGCCCAATTGATAGATTACTCATTCTGATGCAAGATTCTGTTACCAAGGAGCTGCTATCAAGTAGTGTCAAGTGTTAGTTAAGAAGAATTTGCCTTGTGGATGAATTCGTTTTGCACGATATGGACCGGTGACATTATTATATCGATCTTGCCTGGGATTGTTGTCTACTGCTGCTGTTTGATGTTGTAATTGTTGTTCTTTATGTGGTGGCATTGAATGATGTGATACATGATGATTGTGTGCAATTTCAACCTCGATGTCAATAACGTGATATGAAGTTTGTTCAATGACTAATTGATTGTTCCAGAACTCATGTTGTCTCGAGATGTTTCCTCAATCCTTGCTGTTTTCCCCCCCATTAGTAGTGCAGCTCTGCCTATTGATGAAAAGGCTCATTGAAAGTTTCTTTGTTCTATACTTTTGCTTCTTTTTGGAGTATTTGCGTTATTCGTGATTTTAACAAGAGGTTTACTTCAGTGATAAGGGGTACTTCGTGGATCTTTTTGTGAGAGCATCAAATACGCCTGCGATCAAGATGTACGAGAAGGTAATAGTTTCGTCACTTCTGATGATATTTATGAAGTGTCATGCAAACAAGCCTTCTCATTCAATTTTAGATAGACACAGCATTCATCCAAGTTCAGCAGAATCAAGTAGTAACTTTCACAGCTCTGTTGGGTTACTTATTTAAATCCAAACTATAGTCAATCAGTTGCTAGGAATTCAGTTCAGCTCTGATGATGATAACTATCACATATCAAACTTCTTCTGATATGTAATATTAGCTCCTTGAAGTCCTCTTGCCAATTGTGTTTCTCCACTATTCTCTAGTATAATCTTCTCATTAGGCGGCGACGAATATTCCTGAGGCAAGAAGGTGTCATTGTGTTTGGATTAGTGAGTGTGACTGGAAAATAACAGCAGGTTGTTTTCAGTAGATTTCTACAGGAACTAGGTCCCCGGTACTATTTCATTGTCTAATAGAGGATATGAGACTTATTATCCTCTCACTTTCTGAGTAATACTCTCTGGCTAACATTCACGTAAGAGAATACCGGGAACAACGAAGTAATTTGGACCAGTTAAGACAACTAACCTGATGCTAACTCAATGCATGTGTTTATGTTGCAGCTTGGATATATAATCTACAGACGGGTGCTTCGCTACTACTCTGGGGAGGAAGATGGCTTAGGTAAGCATTTTGAGATCATGCTGAAGTATCTCACCAAAGTTCCTTTTATGTATTTTCCCCGGAATGTTTCTCAACTTGTAATTCTATCTTTTGTGGTGTTTTTCAGATATGAGGAAAGCGTTATCTCGCGACGTGGACAGAAAATCAGTCATCCCTCTTAAACGGCCTATTACTCCCGACGAACTGGAGTACGATTGAGTATCAAAGTGCCGATGCAGTAGCTTCATCTATTGAGCTTGACAGCAGTGGAAGAAGATACTCTGTGATATATAGATTGATTCTGGTAACTTTTTTGGTTTGATGCTTGGTGAATCCTATTTCAGATATTCCTGGGGCCGTCCTCTGGCTAGAAAGCGGTGGGACTTTGGACAGTTGTTGTGTTGAAGCTTACAAAGCAGTCCCCTATTGTTGCTCCTCTCTTTGGCCATAATAATGCCTCGTACGAGTGCTTAACTAGGGAAAAACATAAATGGTAGCAACTCAATGCCTGTGCTTTATTCGTTATTCGGAGAAGATCAAACCCTGTAAACTTGTTATCCACAACGGCTGGTGGCCTCATCTTTAAGCTGTGAGTTATTACTGGTTGTACTTGTATTTTCTTGGGTAAATACAATTTAATAGCCAAACCTTTTATTCTAAACAAAATAATATCCAAACCTTTTCAAAAACAAATTAATAGCCAAACTGTTAACTTTCCGTCCGGTCAACTGTTAGTTGACTATGACGTGGCAAAATATTAAGTGAGATGGAAGATTTTTTATGATGTGGCAAGAAGTCAAATGTTTGACCATGCCACATAGATATTATATAATTTTTTTAATTTAACTTTTACATATATCTAGATAAATAATGATAAAAAGGAAGACTTTTGAGTGTCCTTTCTCTAATCAAATCTCCTTCTCTCTGTTATCAAGCTTGTGGTTTCCTTATTCTGGGTTTTCTATTTGGTTACTGGGAATAAGGTGAACGATCAGTGGCCACCTTACTTTGATGGGGATTATACTAACATAATGATACACAGGATAATCATCTGCCAAGACCACCGCTGCTCTCATTCACCCTCTCTGCTCGTAGTGACGGTTGCTCTCCCCTCGTCCCCTGTTTCTGACCATAACAACTACTTACCTTCTTCACCTCGTCGCCGTACCCATCCCTCTCCTTCCGACCAGAATAGCTAAGAGCGCTTGACGATTCGCCTGCCTTTGTTCTAGATTAATCAGATTTATTTGATGAGGAGGAGAAGAAGGAGATGGCACCACGAGAGGAGGGAAGTGATTGCGGTGAAAAAAGGAATATGAGGGGAAAAAATCTGTCGTCTCCTTCAGCGCTTCGTCGTCTCCTCGCCAGCGCTTCGTCTGTCTCTTCGCCAGCGCTCCGACGTTTCCTTCGCCAAAAGCCCCGACCGGGAGCGACGCTAGCTTTTTCCGGCTTTCACATGACGAGGGACGAAGCCGGCGCCGTTGATTTTGGTTCAGTGGTGGGCGATGTGTTTGGTTTCGCCGGAGGAGGAGAGGGCTTCTTCTTTGAGGGAGGAATTCGAACGGGGAGAATTGGTGGAAGAGAATGAAGAGAGAGAGAGAGAGTGATTAGATAATGTGTTGATCTTTCCCTTTTCTTATTTCATTTTCCCATTAATTTTAATTAGGTGCCACAACAGAAAAAATGTGCCACATGTACAGTTTCTTTCCACGTCTGAGTCAACTGACAGCTGACCAAACAGAGAGTTGACGGTTTGGCTAATAAAATGTTTTCGAATAGGTTTGGCTATTATTTTGTTTTCGGGTAAAAAATTTGGCTATTAAATTGTTTTTACCCTATTTTCTTTGGCAGAACTAATTCTACCTGTTTAAGTAATGTTTAGTACTGCAGCTTCGTATTCTCTACTTGCAATTACATACAAAAACGACCACAAAAGATTAAAAGAAAGAGCAAGTACTTATAACGATCGTTTTTCGTTTGATTAATGCTCCCCAATGCTTCGCCATCATCCAATATCCATGCTGCTTTTCTGGGAATGGAGCTTTCTCCAATACAACAGATCACTGTTGCGGAGTTGGTGCAAGCATGGCACAACCATGCTTCAGGCTCGTTTATCTCGTACCGTGCTAGGACACGCTTCAAATTCACTCGGCACGCTTCAAATTCGTGCACGATTTGAATCGCGATGTGCCTACTCGTGTTCGTACCATACTCATATTTGTGTTTAATGAAAAACAAGAAGTGTTTAATGAAAAACAAGAAAATAAAAGTAGAAGTGAAAAAAGGAGAAAATTGGTCCAGTATGAAATCATTAATTGAGAATGTTTGACTATAGTAACACATAACGGTAAGAAGAAAATTGAAAGTATAGGAGGTGGCGGATACATGGCACTTTGGGGTGTTCCGGGACACCCATAAAATTTGGGAACACGATTATTCAACCCGATAGTAGTTTGCATATGGATGAAAAATATTTAAGTGATAGCGAGACACTCTTAAAATTTGGAAAAATGATTATCCAACCCCGAGTAGTAGTTTGTGTACATGTAAATAAAAACGTTTAAGTGGTAGCTTATGTGATTTGAACTTGAGTCACTTCTATTATGAGAAAACATATTTTTCATTAGACCACAACTCATTTGTTCTTGTATTTTAAATCCAAATATACTAGTAAAAAGCTATTCCTTATCGCCAATTATTTTCAAAAGCTAACGATTAACCCAATTACGACCCCCCTTGTCTAGTTGGATATATCGATATAGATTGGTAGAGCATTGTTAGACATCGATTATTTTTTATAATTTTTCCTGAATACGAAACACTTCATGTGCTTTGTTCTATTTTGTATAAATCATATATTTCTTATTTAATAATTATTGAATTATTAATTTAATTAAATTTTTAGGAGAGGACACCCCTATGTAAAATTTCTGGATCCGCCACTGAGTATAGGGAAAGTGATTTGGCCTCCATGTGTATATTTAATTCTTCGATCATTATTATTTGTGGTAGTAAGTACATATAATATTTTTATGATCACTTCTTACAACAATAATGTTATATTTTGTAATTTTATGACTCATATTTTTCATTATATTTATTTTCTATAAAAAGAAGTTTTTTTGGTACTCTATCATGCTTATACATAATGGAGTATTAAAAATATTCGACTTCGTACAACCTACTTATAGGTCGTGTGGTATGACACAATTACACAAACTATTCATACTTGTACAAGATTGACTCATATATTTCATGCTCGTGTCATGCCCTAATTGTGTGATTCGTGCTATCCCATGAGCGGCGCTCCATATAGAAACTTGAACCTTGGGGATAGCATAAGATGGTAATGAACGAAAAACTTAAGTTTGTGGTTTTGATCCTCGGGGATATCATAAGAAGGTAACGACTAACGAGTGATTTTTTTGTGCATATACAAGGTTTAGAAAGTATAGTTATACATAGGAAACCTGATATTTGAGATCGAAAACAAAGCATGGACATGAAGTCATACCTGATTACCTGGCCGCAAAAGGGGAATTAAAGGCGAAGACGACGGTAGCAGTTATCCTCCAAAACTCGAATCCCCAACTTGTCAATGAAGCCCTTGCTTCACCATATCATGACCCTCCAATATGCCTTGCCAAACCCACGAAGGCCAAGCCCCCACTGCCGCATCCAGAAAGTGATGTTTGGGATGATATATTGTTTAACTATCATAGCAATGTTCAATCAATTAAAATCACGGAAAACTAACTCCCCATCAAACTTACTATGACAAATTGCACTTAGTGACACCCATTGATTGCCATCATCTTTATCCTATCATGCCTACCAAAATCGAGACAACGGGCTATTACATTGGCGGAAGGTTCAGAAGGGAGCCTTGTAACAAACCCACATATGGGTCTAGGTTCGACCAAACGTTCGATTGCCGATTATGTACGAAGGGTTCAACCGTAGATTAGAGATAATAATAATAATAACTATTATTGTTATTATTATTATCATCATCATCATCATAATGACCATCATCCACCATTTCCCCTCATCAACAACAACACATTATTATTATTATTATTATTATTATTATTATTATTATTATTATTATTATTATTATTATTAACATAATCATCAGGTCATCTCCACGTTCCTTCCTCCCATCACTAAGGAAGACAAGATAGAAACCCAAATTAAACCCTCCACCTTACGTTACTCCTCTCTCCCTCGGTCTATCTATCTCCTTTCCGTTACCATCATTTTACCTTCATTTTTATTTCCCCATAACCAAGAGAGGACTAGCTCAGAGACAACCCTTCCTTGAACAAGAAGCTCCCCGGTCTAGTGGTTTTTTTGTCCAATCACAACAGCAGGCGACGCCGTCTAGTCGTCCTGCTCCTCCGGCGCGGTCCCCATCAGTGGTAGCGCTAGCGGACGACCCAAGCCCCTCGACATCGACATTTTCACATGGAGTTGTCGAGGTAAGGTTCCCGACCTGCCCTATCATCAAGCCCGACCTCTAAATCCCGGTTAAATCAATGTTTCCGCATGATGAACGTAGCTTCGACAATGACCCCGGTGTACTCGACCTCAACCAAGCTTCAAAAACTTGGTACCATCTTGTAGAGGGCAATCTCAGGAACATTCCGGTTTCGACGGAATCTAATTTTGACGTCGGACGAGGAAGATATGAGCCTCGAAAGCTTGAAACGTGAATCGATAGTTCAGGTACCAAATCTTTCTTTTTGTTAATTATAAGGACCTAGATGGTAATTTCATTTCAGTCAGTGGGAAAATCTCCATGTTGGTTACTCATATTTCCAGTGCAAGCAGTTTATTCCCTAATATTTTAGAAGTTGACAGTTGGGCTAAAATAGTAATTTCTTAAAAATTAGTAGGAAGACGAATTTAGTTAAATAAAATAGTATTTAATCGCTTCTGTCGGTTTTAATAAATTTACTCGATGCTACATACTTGTATTTTGGCCTAGAATTTATTTGGGAGCTTTTAGAGTTGATTGAATAATTATGAAAATCTATAACGGACTATAATAATTATGAAAATTATGAAAATTTATTTGGGAGCTTTTAGAGTTGATTGAATACTTATATTTAAAAGACTATAATATTTCATTTATGTAAGGAAATAGAAGGGTTAATTCCCTAAATATTGTTTTTTTTAATTTACCACGAATATAGTGTTTTGTAAAGTATTTACAA